TATTCCTTGTCTAATAATTTAATAAAATTAGATGGGTGCTTTCGGCACAAATGCCATCATCGGGACTTCTAAAAAAATGATTAACATTTGAAAACTGAATAGAAAATACAAAAATCACAAGTAACTTGTCAAAAGTTATAAAGAAGATAATGGGTAAAATTGCATACTTCAGCCAAAAACATAACTACCTATGAAATCAACGTAAAATTTCATAAAATATTTGTACCTAGTTGTAAAAAGACAGACCTCCACGTGTTCTCATCGGAACAATAAGACATCGAAAAAAGTAGTAAAAGTGGAAATTAAAACCGACTAAAAACTACCAATGCTGGGACTCCTCGGCTCTTCTTCGGTAAAGGATTGACTCCGGCTTAAATGGTTTACCTAAATCTGTACTGAGATCTATATTCTGCCATTGTGAACCCCCAATATTTTGATCACAAGCCGCCACAACTGATCGAGAGGTACGGGAGTCTTTAGAAATTACTTTCCCGAATAGGCGGAACAGTCAAAATGAATCAGTTGCTTGGCCACCGAAATCATCAGACATAAATCTGTGTAATTTTTTCCAAATCCAGGCCTGTCATTAGTCGGAAAGTGCGTTTTAGACATTTCTTTCCCAAATAAGTGGATCGGTCGAAATTGATCAGTTGCGGCATTGTATTTAGATATCCTAGTAGAACAACCTTATGGACGTTTCATTGGAGGTAATTCTATCGCGACATTTGTTAGAACTGTACAGAACTTCATCAAAATAGCTCTTATGCTAGCGGTCCCTCGATAATTGAGTATATAATTCTGTATGGGTACATAGTTTTATTTATTTTTAAATACATTTTGGTACATTGCTAAATTTAAATTAATATTGTTATAGGTATTCTTTAAAATTATGATAAACTGTAAATAAATGTACATCAAAAATAATAAAACTCTCATTTTTAAAACATATATTCGGTTCTTACTTAACCAACGATATTATTATTATTATTATTCACTGACATAAGCTGAGAACCGATGTCCTATGAAGCTCATATTATTTAAAAATTTTTAGTTAAAAATAAACAATTTTTTTCAATCTATAATTATTTAATACAAATAAATTCGAAAGATCGACACCAACATATGCCTAATTGCGCGAAAACAAACGATTAAATCACCACGCAGTCGACGCTCACTAAAAAGAGTCAGATTAGCGGTAGACAGACGCTGTTCATACGGTGGCCTTCTTATACCATACGGAAGCCTTGTTGCAAGTCGCTGCACATTTTCCAATCTCTTTTGATCCGAGATTAATACGGGACACCAAACAGGACTACAGTACTCCAGGCGAGGACGAACATATGTTGCGTATATTTTCAAAAATGTTGAGGGAGAAACATTGCCAAAAGTCTTTTTTAATAAGAATAGTTGAGAGTTTGATTACTGATAATATATAGGTACTATGACCACGTTAAGTCTCTAGTAATGATAACGCCGAGATCATTTTGGGACGATACTGTCTTTAAGGCATTATTATTAATAGTATACACTAATTTAGGATTGTTTTTACCGATATGAAGAACAAAACATTTATCAACGTTTAGCGGTAATAACCAGTCTGAACTCCACTTTGATACCGCACTTAGATCAGATTGAAGAGACTGATAGTCCACAATTGGATTAGCGTAGATTTTTGTATCGTCTGCGTAGAAGGAGCAATATATGGATCCATCTATTAATGAATAGAGAAATGACGTTCGTTATTCAGTTTCGACAACCGTTCGTTCGTTGGTTCGGTAGAAGACGACAAAATTATCAAAGACATGACTTTGACGCGACGGAGTTTGCTGTTATCTATTGATACTGTCCATTGTCCTCCAAGATAATGTGCTTTGGCGTTGTTCTACTAGGTTATCTAAATACAATGGTTGCTGATATTTTGCAATGAATCTGTATGGACATTTTCGGCTATAAATTTGTTTTTCACCTTTCTAAATATAGTTCTATTAAATTTTCTTGAAAAACACTTTCTAAATTCTGTTATGTATTTTATTTTTTTTATATAATATGTAATGTAGGTAATAAACTTTTAGAGTGAACCGCTAGCTCTGTTAGATATTTGCCTAATATTTTTACTTTAGTTTTGCTAATTTAAACAAATTGTCGTGGACCTACACATTCAGAAATAAAATACATTATCTAACAAAATAAATAGGTATAGGTATACCTAATAATGTAAATTTATTATAGGTACCTAATAAGAAAAAAATAGATTTATTTGTATGAACTTGTTCTAATATGAATTGAATAAATGTAGTTTTAACAGAATTTATCCAGTTCGTTCAAAGTTTGTTCTGCGGCAATGGAGGGACGAAACCCAATATGCCAACTAGGTAGATAGCGTTGACAATATAAGGCTATAGGTACCATCAGCAAATAAAAAAGAATATGATTCTAGGAATTCTTACTGATACAGCTATAGCCCAAAAATTATTCTGGAAACCTTGGAACTCCCATACACAATCTGTCTGGTATATAAAAAAATTAAAAACCAAGGAAGGAACTGGTGCTGGTTTCTTTGGACCCAAGTTAAAACAACCATGTGTGCAAGAGAAATAAATCATCAATTATCAAGCCATCTACTCTGATATCCATAAGCAGCTCTAAAAGCAATTCTCTCAACAGAAATCAAATCACGATTGGTATCTGTAAGGTAGAGAGTGGGTATGCTCTACAGTATTTAAGCCTCATACCCATAGTGTATCATCTATAGGATCTCCTCTAAACTTGTCAAAAACCTGCAGCTCTGCTTGAAGCTGAGGGATGTATAGAGACAGCCAACTACTCAGCTCGTCAAAGTCCTGCATGATATCAATTCGTCAAAAACCTGCTAGTTGATGCTGACTGGTGTCTAGAGACAGTCAGTTATCTTCTTAGCTCGTCAAAGTCCCGCAGGTTATCAATTCATCAAACAACTGCTAATTGTCGTTGGGGGTATCTGGGAAGAGCCAGCCTTTCAGGTCAAAGTCCTGCAGGTTAACAACATCGCCGAGAGGTGTCTTTAGATGCACCAATTTTTGGGAAATAACCCTTTGGTGGACTTCTACCACCCCGATAATAAATGCCCCAGTGAAGCCATTCTATGCACCTGCTCCACACGACTGCTTAAAAACTACCTAGAAGACCTGACGGAGCTAAGTAATCGAAACAAAGTGATCTTATCCTGGGAACCAGGCATTGTGCAAGGAATCTACTAAACAATAGATGCTAAAAGAATCTTGCGATTAAAAAAAAAAAACAAGGTGCTCTGCTATTATTTTTTAAATATAAATATTTTTCCGAACGTTTTATAATATTTTAAAAGCCTAAAAATAGACATAAAATGTAGTAGATATATTTGTTTTTAGAAAAAAAAACTTTAAACTCAGCAAAGCAAAGTAAAAAAAAAATTTTTTCGGGATAATTTATAATATTACAAGAGCATAAAAATAGCCTAAAAAGTTGATGTGGTTGTTTTTAGAAAGAAGCTTTAAACCGATGTGCTTCCGGCCTCGTTGGAAGCTAGCAAAGCACCGTGGATTTTTAAAAAAATACCATTTTTTTTTTCGAAAAGATTTATAATATTTAGAGAGCCTAAAAATACCCTGAAAATATGGCGTGGTTGTTTTCAGAAAAAAAAACTTTAAAAAACTGAGATGTTTTGCTGGCTTATTCGTTCGAAGCTAGCAGAGCACCTTGAGTTTTGTAAAAAAAACTCAAAATTCCCTAGATGCTCTGCTGCCTTCACTGGCATTTCATAGTAAGATAGATCATATGTAGAAGAGATTGTTGATATTCTAATAGGTATACCTATGGCATATAAAGTTTAGAGTTAAAGCACAATTTTAGCACAACTATGCGAACCTTTGCTATATTTTTGTGCAAATTTTGTGAAATTTTTATACCTACGTTATTCGCGATTGTTATGTATTTATGCTTATATTTTTTTGAAGCAAAAGTTGTACTACTTTAAATCCAAGACCACAACTCTGTTATTTATAATGCGATTTCAATCAAAATACCACCATTAATTTGTGTAAATTTTGTGCAAATTTTATGTAAATTTTGTGTATACCTAGGCCAAATATTTTTTTTTAATTCTATATTGATTTGGAGTTTTCTTTATTCTTTTAAGTCAAATAAATACTGAGAAAATATTCTAAATAAATATTAAAAAAACACCTACCTGCCTACCTAGGACTTGCAATAGTTATGTTAATGGTAAATGCAGAAGCAATACCTATTTATAAACAAAAAAAATGAGCAAAACTGATTGTTTATTTCACACATTGGTCCCATAAAAAACGCACAAAATTAAGTATGGCGTTAGTTTGATTGAAATCGCATGATAAATAACATAGTTTTGCTATAATAAAAATATATATACTTAGTGGTTGGACCAAATGTACAAAAATACACAAAATGATAGATGGGATTCGCCTAGACCTACATGTGTTGAAGTTGATGTGAGAACTTTATATAGGTAGGTACATACCTATATGTATGTGTTTACCTAATTATTTGGTATTAGGTGGGTACCTACTAAACAAAAACTTCAAACTACCTATCGTACATACAGAGACAGTGAAAGAGAGAGAAGGTAGAAATGAAAGATCATATTGATTAGGAGATATAGAAAAATTAATAAGTTATAAAAAATTATGTTTCTTAACTCATCAAGGGGTAATCTTTTGGCATATAATAGTTGATTTCGCATATAAATGAAAATAGGTATAAATTTGTAAATAGGTATACTAGCTATCTATTTAAATAACGTCTACTTCCTTAACTTTCTTAGATATGTATTTCTATATTTTCTACTTTAATTGGGAGACTTTTGATTATTGATATGCTTTCTACTTTGTTTTAAAAATTGGTACGATCTTAGTCTTTTAAATTCAAATAAAATTAGTTGATATATGAGTTGTTTATAAAAATGATTTACATGAATTTATATAGGTATTTTGAAAAAGATAACCAACCTTTGGTTCACACATCTTATCGATCATTGTGCACCTATTTTGTGCGTTCAGATAATTACACGGCATTAAAGTCACCATTTTCGAGGTACCCAATGGCACCAATATCTCTGTATCGCACTGTCACACTACATTCTTAGTTTTCCGAACTATAAACTACCCAGCGACTTCGTCATTTTCTTTATTGTTGTTGATCACTCCGGTATCATGCAATTCAACCGAAAAATCCTTGTATCGTCGGATCACGACCAACTCACGAGAGCAGTTCGACTGGCTCGACCGTGTCAAAGAGGAGGGGGTGTAGCCCGACCCTCCTCTCGCTCCCCAAGGGTAAATATCGGATTGACCAATAAGAAAGCAACTTGTGGTAGGCGCGCCAATGGCAGAGCGCGTTCATTATTGCTCTTATTTTATTGTTTGAAATTTATCTGACGGGGTGAGGTTTTGAGTGAGTTGAAGAGAGATGGGACCAGTGACAATATCTTCTCGCTATCTTATTAATTTGAGATAGATTGAATTGGGGCTAGATCGGTAAGTTCGTCAACTCGGTGAAATCGATTTTGACTGTATGAAGCACTTATTTATGGGATAAGCGGAATTTGGTTTTAAAAAGTTTTGCTCTTTTTATTTAATGATGAATTCTATTTAAAATGGAACATCATCTAAAAACAATGGGTTAATGAAACTGCTGAACTAAGTTATACAGTAACGTACCTTACATAAATTTATAGATCTTGCTACTTTACAACAACCAAAACAAATATAAAACAGAAAATTGTATCTTTAATAGGCTAATTATTCACAAAGTATATCTTTAAGTTTAACCACATGTAAAACCTTAAATCGAAGCGTCATTATAGGGCGACTGTTGACTTCGTTGGTTTTCGCCTAGGTAGTTAAGTTTGGTCAATTTTTATTTGAAATACTTAGCAATTGCAATTCCTAAACTATAGTTTATTTGAAAATGCAAAAAACACAGTTTTTATGGCAAAGGTCTACCTATATACAGGATTGTTCAAAACAGAAAAAAAGTAAATATTGATACCTTCTTATCTGAATTTTCACTAAAGTTTAGTATGACTACCCCGAAAAATCTCGAATATATTACATCATAAAATGTAAATGAGCAAACCCTAAGGGATTAATCAATAATTCTATACCTACCTCAGAGACTGGGAATATGAAATTACTTTAAAATAAAAAAATAGTAAACTGTCAATATTAAGTATCCACATTTATTTTTAATAAAAATAGTTAGATATTAGGATAGAACATTTCCTTAAAATATAATAATAAATATACACACAACTAAATTTATATGATATAAGTACTAAAAAACTCTTTGCAATAAAATCTTTTCTCATATACCTAAAACTCATATTTTGTTTTTAGAAATACGGGGTGAATCCATATAAATTTGTTTATTTGTATTTTGGGTACTAGCGTCATAAGTATAAACTTATTATAATTAATATAAATATAGAGTTATATACCTGAATAAATAAGTCGTTTTCTCCTGATGAGTCGTCATCATCAGTTTCCTCACTTCCCACAGAAATAATAATTATTTCCCCTATTAACAAATCAAGTTTCCGGAAATTCTCTTCCTCTGCTATGACATGTCTTATAGCATTTTGCCAATTGTCCGGTGAAATTTTTGATATGGAGTCACATAATAGTTGACGAACATCTTGAAGTTTAAATGTTGTATTGTTTCTCGCGACGTATCCCTTTATTTGAGCCCAGATTAGTTTAATAGAGTTAAGTACACAGCATAAGATAGTAACCGCAACACTTTAACTCCATGTTCTTTTGCTATTTCATTTACACTATACTTTTTAAATTTTGGTGAATGTTGTTTACATAATTGCAATAGCTCTTTTTTGAGTAATCCCTCTTATGCCACTATTTCTTTGGTTATTAGCCAATTGGAGAGTTCTTGCTTTTTGCATTTAGTGTTTGGTACAGGGCCGACAAGAGAGGGGGTAGCCGGGACTAATTCCCGGGGCCCGGGCTAAATTGGGGGCCCGGCAGCTTTAGTGAGGACGTTTTTTATTTTTTTTAGAAGTTTGGCACAAGAGGGAGGACCTATTTTGTTTTGAGGTTTCACTAAAGAGAAGAAGTTTGCGTGAAGACTTTTTTTTTAGAAATGTGATATTGAAGGAGCCTAATTTTTTTATAAAATTGTCGCGAGGCCTGACCTAGAAAATTGTCCCGGGGCTCTTCAAACAAAAACTTTTCCTCTTCTACTTGAATTGAATTTTCTAAAAAAAAAGTCCCCAAGCAAAAACTTTTCCTCCTCTGCTTCTATTGCTTTTCCTAAAAAAAAAACCGCTCCCCAACCAAAAACTTCCCCCTCTCGTCTTGTGTCGAGTTTCTCATACAAAACAAAAAAAATCCAGTTGCCGGGCCCCAATTTGAGTCCGGGCCCCGGGAATTAGTCCCGGTTACCCCCCCTCTAGTCGGCCCTGCTCTCGGCGGCTTTGGTTAGGTAACGGTTCCTTTAATCTTGAATGGTAACTGGCATTGTTTGTCCATAACCATTACGGAATTGGTCGGTAATAAAGATAATTAAACGGTGACCTTTATAATTTTGAAATTTTAAGAAAGTAGACAAACCTATAAATACCTGACGAGAATTTGTAACCTGTTTACCTTGCTAAACTTTTTTTTCAAAATGTTCTTCATTTATCCATGTCTCATCCAAATAAAAAATATTTGTCTTCTCTTCTTAATTTTCTAATTTTCCTTAAATATTAACTCCTCCAATAAATAATTTCATCTTTCTCTATGAGCGCAGATTTTCTATCGTTCTTCTCCGCAACGAAGACAAATTCATGTAAAGTTTTCCACAATTTATCTGTTTTAATGTTTATGGCAAAGTTTCGTCTCCATTAATGTCTACTAAAAGTTTATCCAAAGTAGGTACACAGAAAAAAAGGTGTACTATATTCAAGATGAATGGTCTTATTTCAATGCTTTGTTGTGTTTGTATATCCGCAACTAAAATTCGTCTCGATTTGAAACTCTAGTAATACTTGTTCAACAATAGCTAATAAGTCTTATTTTAAGATTAAAATCAACTTTCCCTAACTATAATACCTCTAATTAAATGCATTATTATGTACATCTTAAATGAAATAGTTTTAAACTTTTTTAAAATAATACTTTATTTACATTTAAATCCAATACAACTAAATTTGTTACAATAATAATATGAACTGTTCCAATAACTGTTAATATTGGCTTTGACATAAATATATTGATTTTGGTTGAATTATAGGATAGTTTCACTGAAGAAATTAATAATCTTGAAATAAGAACAAACTGTTCTTGCTGTTTAATAGGGTTCTCACTGGTACCTATCCACCGAAAACATTTTTCAAAATAGTTAATTTACCAAATTCCACTGTCCTCTGAGGTGTCACACCTATAATTAAAAAAAAATAATTTTATGAGCACAAAACCTAAATGGAACATAAAAGTTTGTCCTCCTAAGATAAGAGGTCGTATCTACAAAATGAATATTTTTAGTAAATGTGGGTAGGTAGATAATAACGTCCTTTTAGTCTTCACAAATAAGTTTCGCATATTTGACTAACCTTTTTTGATAATTATAGTAAATATGTTCTAATGCAAATAGGCCTTAATTATTTTGTGTCATAATAAAATAAAATATAAGCTTATTAAATTTGTAAGAATCTTGAAATCGGAATTTTCGTAGATACGACCTCTTGTCTTAGCAAGGCAGAAGTCGTCTTTCCAAAAAGTCGTCATCCAGCATCATACATTTTTTTACTTCTATTCCAATTTGTTTCGTGTTCTTATGATTATAAATTTACTTATACATAATAAAATACCTAACGAGAAGTAAACTAAATATACTTACATTAAAATATTGGTATCAGGTTGCTGAGGCCCCATCCATCTAACAAATCTTCCATTTCAATTTAATTTATTCATACACTTATTAATTGAATTACCAAGAATTTATAACAAAACGTAGAACGCAACCCTAATGATACGACGCAAACTTGTTAGAAAATGGACAATAGGATGAACGGATGAACACGTGCTAATGCCAATTTGCCAGATTATCTATAAATGCTTTGTGTCTCTGACTTCCGAATAATAAGTATCACATCTCAGCATCTACCAGTCATATATCTACTGTACCAGTGCAGTGATTGCATTTTAAAATAAGTTTCAGCTGGCAACACCGTGCAGTGAATTTGTACTCGCTAATCTTTTGTGAAGTGCATAGGTTTTTCATTCGAATTATTTAACTCTTGTTCCGAAATTTAAATGCTTTGAATCGAATCCTTTTATAACATTGAATCAAGTAAGCGATAGTCGGTTTTAAGAGCATATCATACTTACAATAAACTTAAGAGCTTTCTTGGATTAATTAACAATTCTAGACTCGAATAATTTATTCTCAGATTAATTATTATAAATCTTAAAATACAAGGTTATGCCTACACTTAACTCAATATTTATTTTCTTATTGTATCGAGAAATTTTTGAAGCAAACTGCTTTATTTCAAACAAATGTAATCTTCCAAGTGTAAAGCTTTTCTAGAATGTACGAGTAGATAATAATTTTTTTCTGTGTATATTTTTATTGTGAATAAAACGAATGTACTTTTCTTCGGATCAGTTGTTTCATAGTACCGTCTATTTGAATGAGTTTTCTCCCAGTTGAAGTTTTAGCTACTTTCGTTGCTTTAAAATTCTATAAATGGTTGCTTCTCCAACTCCGGTCATATTTGAACACTTAAAAACTATACTCCGAATAGTCGGAATAGTACTATTGAAAAGAACGTCATGTACATTTAACACTTAAGTTTTTATATGCACGGTTAAATCGCGCTTTAATTTCTAGGAGTATAATTAGACGTTTGTGCCATTTTGATTGCACAAATTCACTTGAAAAATATCGCTTTTTATCGCCTGTTGCAGAACTAAAAATTCTGCGTGTTACAATCAAAGGAATATACAAATAGAAATGTAAATCTTAACTAAAATAATTTCCAATCTGCATAACACTTTCTGCCGATTAGAAATTTTAATCCTTAAGAAAGTTGAGGGCTACTTAAATAGTTCTTAAATTGTAAATATTTTTAACCTGTAGAGATTACATACTTACATTTTTGTTGTTGATTAAAATGACTAAAAAATTTGAGACAAGAATTGATATAAATTGGTATTTTTAAAAGTTTTAGGAAGAAAACCAACATTTTTTTATTCTGGAACAAATAATGCTAAACATTTTATTTTAAAAATTCTTGG